AGCGGTGCCCCCCGGGCTCACGACGCGTTTAAAGGGGCAAGTAATCCTGCTCGCGCGCCCGGAGCGCGGGTCCCGGGGCCAACCCGTTTAAGGTGAGGACACTGAGGCTCAGGGAGGCGAGGGGCTTGCCCAGGGCCACAGGACTGGACGGAGAGAAGCCCGGGCGAGAGAGGGAGAGAGCCAGGATTAGAACGGGAAGTTTGCTGGGTGCTTTTCTTGCATAGACACTGACTATCTCATTCAAACCTCACCAACGCCAGGAAGGTAGATACTATTATCTCTTCTTCACAGATGGGAACGCTGAGGAGGCTGCCCAAGTTCTCAGAACTAGACATGGATTCCCAGGCGGCTGACCCCCGAGGCTACACTCCCAGCCACGACCCCTCCGGGTTACAGAGGAGGAGCTTACAGCTGGGAGGAGCAAATGGCGTTGCAGAAGGGGTCTCTGAGCAAGTCACCAGGGGCTCCTGTCCCTCCCCCCTCCCCAGGAGGAAAGGGGTTCCAGGAACCCCTGTGGTGTCTGGTTCCGCAGAGCTCAGCGCCGCCCTGTCTCCCTCTACTGTGGTCATCAGGGTTTGAGGGCCCGAGGCCAGAGTCCCTGTATTTGTGCAACGTCAGATGTAAACAAGACACCTGGGGGCAGCTCACTCCGCTCCCTGGGTCATGACCTGGGACAAGGATTGGGTTTCTCTCAGGACATCAGGCCGGGGGTGTTCTGTGACCATGGTCACCTCACTCTCCCAGTCTAGGCCTCAGTGTCCTCCTGGATGAAAAGCAAGACCCTTGAATCCCACAACCCACCCAGGGCACCTTCCTTCCAGCATCCACAGATTCAACAACCAACTGTCACTTTAAGTCGCTGCCTCTCCTTAAGAGGAATAAGACTGAATAGGATTAAATGGCAGGACCCAGCTCAGGAAAAGCCTCTCAAACCAGTTCAGGCTTTAGCATCCTTCAGAGCAGGGCTGGGGAACTCCTCCCCCATCCCATCCGGCCCCCACTCTCCCTATCACTAACTCTGCCCACTTGAACACCGAGCGGCCATGCGGGGAGTGAAAGAGGACTGCAGAGGGACACTCTGACACCCACCAGGTGGAGGACTCACTTAAGGCAGTGCCCGTCACATCGGCACGTCGGCAGGGCAGAGGTTTGCAGTTGCCAAGCTCTCTCAGGAAGCATGGTTTGAGAGCAGCTGCTCAGACCACCTTACCCACTTCACACAGTATTTTAACCCCCACCCTACACACACACATCCTCATGGCCACAGTGTTGTCTATTTTAGGCAAGTGTGGGGGATACATTAAAGTACAATCTAGCACCCTGCTCCTCTCAGTTCTGCAGCTCTAGTACCTAGAAACTGTAACATAATACTTATAACAAATACACCCATCAGCAGAAACTCCTCGCTCTCCTAGAAACAGTATTCAACAGCAGTGACTGTTTACTATGAGCTGGGCCCTATAATGAGGCATTATTACATTGAACCTTCCCAACCGTTTATGAGAAGGTACTATGCCCATTTTACAGATGTAGAAATTGAGGCTCAGGGAAGAGAACCCTCACTTGCCTAAGGTTTCTGAACCCGGTTCTGCTATAGGAGGGTACTTTGCAATGAAAAATATATACGGAACTCAGACACTAACATAGCAATGCATTCATTCCGCAAACATTTATTGAACACCTACTTTGTGTCAGGCCCTGTGGTCAGGACACAACAGTGAACATAGAGGCCGATGGAGCACAGTGAGGACAGGGGGGTTTAGTAGGGCCCTAGAGGCCGTGGTGAGGACTGAGGGTTTGATCCTAAGAGCAAAGAGGAAGTTGGGGGCAGGGGAAATAGTGAAGGTCATATGATAAAAACCTGTGATTTACAATACCAAATGCCCAATTTCATAGTTTGCAAGAAAATGTAGCCTACGAAATAAGTAACAACTAATGTGGGGGTCAGGTGGGACAGTGAGAATCACTAACCAATAAACTACAAGGTGACGTGTAAGCCTGCCATGGTAGGAGAGGTACAGTGGAACCAGCGAAGGCAGCATGGCCAGAGTCTAGACCAGGGGTGGGCAAACTTTTTGACTCGAGTGCCACAATGGGTTCTTAAACTGGACCGGAGGGCCGGAACAAAAGCATGGATGGAGGGTTTGTGTGAACTAATATAAATTCAAAGTACACATCACTACATGAAAGGGTATGGTCTCTCTTTTTTTTTTTTAGTTTTATTCATTTCAAACGGGCCAGATCCAGCCCGCGGGCCGTAGTTTGCCCACGGCTGGTCTAGACAGTGACTTTGGACTTCAGATTCCACCTCTGAAAAAAACAACAGTCCAGTCGGTGTGGCTCAGTGGTTGGGCATCGACCTATGAATCAGGGTTAGATTCGTAGTCATGACTCATGCCCCAGTAAGGGGCACCATTGATGTTTCTAGTTCCCTCTCCCTCTCTGAAATCAATTAAAAAAACATATTTTTAAAAAATGGAAATAACAATTTGTGAAGATTAACTGAGATAATAAAGTGCCTGGCCCTTAATGGTAATTATTAAGTATTTAAGTAATTCAATGGCAAAGTGCTTAGTTTTGCCCCACTTCCCCCCATAGATTAGTTAAAGCAAACTATTTTTTTTTTAAATGCACTACTGTTGAAATAGGTAGTTTACATTATTTTGCTGTGATGGTAAAATGACTCAGGAAAGCATACCTTTAAGATTTGTCAGATAAATTAGTCAGATACTATTAATATACTTTTAGATGCTTAACACTTTTTTTCTGAAGAAAAATATTCATCTTAATTTCCTCTGTGGATTGAGTTATTAAGCTCTTTAACTTGAAGTTCACCGTGCCTCATTTTTAAATCAGAATCTGGGTAAGTCCTGTCCCTAAAGATCCTAGAGGGATGCTGGGAGAGTAAATGATGCAGTTGGGTGCAGGAGCTGAAAACAAAGCGGCCCAATAAATATTTGCTGAATGAATCCTTATTTTATTCATTATTATTGCTATTGGGAGCATACTGCATTGAAGGCAAATTCCTACTTAAAATGCAGTGCCTTGGGATATTGAGAAAAATGTAAAACCTCAGCTTACTTTTTAAAAATGACAATGCTGGTCAAACGTCACGCTCAAGTTTTTGCATGAAGGAGACACAGCAGCTGGAAATGACCAGCAGGTCACTTTGCCGCATAACGTGGGTCTTACTGTCCTGACAGCGAACCAAGTGCGCGAAGGACTCCGGGCAGGGACATCGCCCCCCGTGGCCTCTCTGATGGGCAGGAGCCCTGACCAGCTGCGGGACGAAGAGCCGCCCCGGAAGGTGCCCGGGGACCCGTCTCACCCCAAAGTGGGCCAGCGGGTCCCTGCCCCCTGCCCCCTGCCCCGAGGGCGCAGAGCTGGCTCGGGGCGTGCGGAGGAAGGAAGGCACCTGCCATGCGGTCCATTCCGACTCGCTCTGCACAATGTGGGTTACCGATCCGCGCCCTCGCCTCGGGGTCACCTCCTTTCCCAACGAGAGGGAGCCCCGAAATGGGCAAAGCCTCGGCCTCACCCGTCTTTATCATGATTAACAACCCTTCCCTGGAGGTGACCTGCGCTTTAATTTCCAAAGAGCTCTGACATCTGGATCCCTCGCCTCTGGAGAGGCAGGTCAGTTGGTGCCAACACTTAGAGGGGAAACCGAGGCACGGGAGCTGGAGGGGCTTCTGGATGCTTCGGGAGGGGGTAGGTTGCGGGGCATGGAAGGTTCCGCAGCGTCCCTCACCTCCCAGCCCCCACCCCATCCCCCATCCCAAGCTTGAAGTGTTAATGACAAAGAATGAAAATAGTAGCCATGCCTTTATGAAAAGATGGCAGGGAATGAGTTATATAATGACACCCAGGCCCTTCCTCCAGCGGGACCTCCCACCGCAGCCGCCCAGGCTCTGGCCATCTGGGCACATACCTCTACCCATGGTCCCGGTCTGTCACCGCCTGGGATCTCCCGGGAAACGCAGCTTTCGAAAAAAGTTACAACAACTGTAGCCAACTGCTGCACGGAGCACCGGCTGCTGCCCTGATTGGCGCCGCCGCCCGCCTCTCTCCTGGCCGCGCGCCGTGATAGGCGAACGCGGGAGGGAAAGCCCGCCCTTCTCCCCGCCTCCCTGCCTGGGGGCGGGGCGAGCGGCCGCACTGTCTATAATCGCTATCGGAACAGGTCTCCGCGGAGGAGGTGGAAGGATGGGGTGTTTAAATTGTACCGTCTCCCCTGCGCTGATTGGCTGCGGTGGAAGGGCTTCCGCGTCCCCGTTGGAGGTCCCAAACTCCGCCCCGTCACGGCGCTGAAGCTCCGCCTCGGGAGGTTTGGTCACGTGATTGGAGGACCCAGCTCAGAGCGGACCAGTTTTTTTTCTCCAACTTGACTGGAACCCGACCTTTGACCCGCGACCTCCCCTTATGACCTGGGATGCCTAACTCCCAGCAGTTTGGCATCTCCAATACCTTGCCCTCCTCCAGCAGTTTAATCCATTCATTCCTGGGTTCGAAAGGTTTCTTGGAACAGCCTATTATTCCAGTAGTCAAAGCCGCTGGCATAGCTCCTACCAACTGGGTCAGTAGCTAAACTAAGAACCTCCGAGATCCTAGCCCAGCATACCCACCCATTCCACAGAAGGAGAGAACCAGAGGGAACAGATAGCTTGCTTGGCCCGTGGTCACCCAGCAGTTTAATGGCAGGGCCTGGATCAACCTTTGGACTGTGAGTCCACTAGATAATGACCTTAATCCCAGGGAAACAGCTCTACAGTGTCCCCCACCCACCCAGGGGAGCCACTGTGGATGTGGTCCCAGAGAAGCACGGGTGTCCTGGGTATTCTTTGCTTTGAAAGAAGGGAAGGTATCCAGTTACAGCTTGTTCCTGGGGATGTAGGCAAATATAGCCCCTCACTCATCCATCCTCCCTTTGGTCCCAAGAAGATTTTTAGAGACCCCATCATTGCCCAAGGAGTCTACCAGTGCACCAGGAAAGTGGGAAAGCAAAATCAAGTGAGGTAGACGAAAGCACTGGGGAAAGTAGTTGCTAATTTGCCGTATGGCGTTGGCATGTCATTTCAGCTCTTTGGCCCTCAATTTCCTCAAGCTGTCAAATGGTTTTGGAGTTGGGCAAAGAGTGATCTCCAAGGTTTCCTCCAGCTTCCACAAATATACAGAGGTTTTTACTTTCTCTAAAGTTTATAAAGTCAACATTTCTTTTTAAAAAATATATTTTATTGATTTTTTTACAGAGAGGAAGGGAGAGGGATAGTTAGAAACATCCATAAGAGAGAAACATCGATCAGCTGCCTCCTGCACACCCCCTACTAGGGATGTG